GTTGCTAAGCAACCTTAACAAGCACCTATCATAGCCTACTTACATGAAATACTGAATGCAGAGCTGACCTTCCTCCAGGTGCTGTTTGTGTAGGCCTATTGTCCATGGGACAGATGTAAAGCTCTGGGTAGCCCTGCACTAAAATGATCAACTTCTACTTACATTTACAAAAGAAGAGAGATATCTGTGGACTGTGATTGGTTGGTCCTCATCAATGACATGTGGTGCACACTGCTGGGTTCCAAAAGTTGAGCTCTGTTTGTCTCAGGGCACAGCTGTTGCACCCAGAAAAGTAGGCATTTGAGAACACGTACGCACCACAATGGCGTCGTTCTTGCATTTTAGTGCACCTGCCATGTGTCTACATTAAATACAGTGAATTCAAGGGCGCCAAAATGCAGCATGTGTACGGCTCCCTAGTTTCTCAAGTGTCTTTGTTCATTGTTTCCCATCCCTCTTTATAATGTAGGTCTTTCAGGGTAGGTCAAAACACTTACATCGGCCTTTAGACAAGTATTATAGCCTCCGAATCCGGGATAACACCTGACTAAGCACTGTGAAACAGAAGTACGGAAACAGCATACTAGTTCCAACAAATTTAAGATTTGAGATTTATATTTGAGTCAGTATTTCTCTTACGCAACACTGAAGAACTATTTCTGGAGCTGCTCTCCTCCTGGCAAGTGGTCAGTTCAACGTCTGCCTAGTTAGCACGAGATAATGCGGAAATTATGGATAATATGTGGAAAAATGAAATTGAAATGATGCAACAGCAGTTCATGAATATCTATGGATGTAATAATGTGCTTGAAATAAATATTTTGCTGAATTTAGATCGTCTGGACTACTGGCAGTATGTGAGAAATGAACTGATGGCTATGTAAGCACAGCTTCTGTCTGGATAATATTGATTTATTTTGAATTTCTATATTGTCATGTCTTAAAACAAAAAATCAGACCAAAAAAAACAAACATATATCCAAATCTCAAAATTGAAAACAGAATACCTATCCAGCTCTTGAATTTGTTTAAAGCATACAAACCCTTACATCAGTACAAATGTGTTTATTTGAATGGATTTCCATAACCCAAAATGTATTAAATGTTTTCATACAAGAAGCAGTGATTCTGGAACTATAGATGTTCAGGGTTAGTCTCTTTATTTTCTATTTTTCGATAGATTTTGTCAGGCTTGTGTTACTCCCCCTTGGAGTGCTGATGCTGCATGTTTCAAACTTTCTAATGACATTTATCTTTCTGTTTCAACTCCTCTGCTTGTTTGCTAACTAGTTCTCACAAACTCTCAACAGTAGCATGTGGTGTTCAGGTTTAAAACTGACTCAGGTTGGTGGGTGGCGTGTCCTGTACAGTTGGCCTGTTGTAGGTGGAAGCTTAGTGGTTATTATGAAAATTAAAGATACGAAATGATTAGCGTCAAACCAAATTGTAATCCAGTTGCTTTATTTTTGTCTCCTAAAACACAAGTATGTGGATATTTTGTTGCTCTATTTACCAAAGAGTTTTCAGATCAGTTGAAGTACTTAATCTTTCCATGTAAGCCCAGGTTGTGTATTTAGAAAATTATAAAAAGTCTCTGTGAAAATATGTATCTGTCAATGGTGCTCGTATGTTCAGAAAAACAACATAGACTGTCTTACCGGCCAATGTAAGTAAAAATGGTATGTGTGCTCTTCAGCCAAGAAACAATGAGGCTCTGGTGTCATCTGCCTGGGCTGCGTTATCACTCTGCCCTCCTCAAGGAAGTGGAGCCGTTGATAGAAAACACTCTTATCATCTCTGTCTTGGTTTCAATTTCAGCTCAATTTCACAAGCCAGTGAATGTTCTGTATATGTCTACAACACAAACAGGACAAGTCAGAACTGGAAAAGGTGTTGATTAGGTCAGGGCCTCTCAGCGTTTTTGTCTCTGGGGACCAGCGAATAAATCACTGTTATTCTGAACTGAGATAAGCCAAAGTTTTCTATATCAAGACTGATGGATGCTGTAAGAACATGAACAGGATCAAAAAAAAGTGTCAAGATGAAATACGTAAGTTTAGATCAACGCACACTGAGCCAACACCACACCATCACCAGGTGAGAGAACTGAGAATGACTGGACAAGATGACCCGCAGACGTGATAAACTGTAATCAGTGATCTGCCTGCGGGAAGTGAGAGTTGTTGACAGGATCACCGGCTGTCACAGTCTGTCGGATGATATTGACCCTCCAGTGCGATAAGGCTAGACAGCTGTCATAAAAAGCCTGAGATGCAGCAGATGTTGTAATAGGTGCTTGTAATGGGTGATAAGGCATCCACAACTGTACCGATGAAAGGTTCTCTGATGAACAGATACTCACTGTAAAATGACTCAGAGCACCTTTTTAACCTTTTTTTTAATCATTTCCTCTCACACTGGTTGATAAAATGTTCTCAGTTATCGTAAATATAGAGATCAACTGTCTTGCCATGGTGTAATGCATTTCTGTATATATATGTTGTATCAGTATTTAGCCATTCTAGCAGCAACTGTACTATTACATGGATTACTACTGACAGAAATTCAAGATTTCTAGTGGATAAATTACATAGACCGTGTAAAAGAAGTAGACACAGCCACCATGATGTTACCCTTTGGTCTGTAGACTGATATTTTGAAGCCTTGAGTTGACATTTTGGTTTTTTTGGAACCAGACCTGACCATATTTATAGCGACTTATCAATCACAAGGTCATCATGCCCTCAAGCATACCCTGTTTTATTGCCAACTTTACTCTGAATGCGACCATAATTCACAAAATTAACATTGTTTTTAATTGAATAAGACTTGAAACAAGTGTTTGAGACCAAATAAATTAGGAAAATGTTTACTGAGGGAATAAATCAAGTGAGAAGTAGAGTAATTTTCTATATTGAACGTCTTTTTGCAATAATAGGAGTCACCCTCTGCTGGCCATTAGAAAGAATGCAGAATTAGGGCACTTCCACATTGGCTTTATATTTCAGACCTGGAAATAACCCCTTGAACGGCACGGTGTTGCAGTGGTTAGCATTGTCGACTCACAGCAAGAGGGTTCCTGGTTTGAACCCAGGGTGGGGATGTTGAACCACGGCGTGGGGGAAGTCTTCTGTGAGGAGTTTGCGTGTGGGTTTTCTCTGGGTACTCCAGCTTCCTCCCACAGTCCAAAGACATGCAGGCTAGGTTAACTGCCCGTAGGTGTGATCGTGAGTGCTTGTCTATCTCTGTGTGTTAGCCCTGTGATAGTCTGGTGACCTGTCCAGGGTGTACCCCTCCTCTCGCCCAATGACAGCTGGGATAGGCTCCAGCCCCCCTCAACCCCCAACAGGGTGAGTGGTTACAGAAAATGAATGAACTGACAGCTATTTTGATGCAGGGCGTTGGTGGTTAGGTGTAGGCAACAAAACTGCTTGGTCAGGGTTAGGAAAAGATGGTGGTTGACATAAGTGTCATCACTGGACTCACATGGTTAACCGCTAACGTGACACTCAAGTGACTTATAACTGACTAATAACTCAGGTAACAAATTAGCTTAATGCTGCCTTTAGTTTCCGGTGGGACACACACCCTGGTCTCCTGGGTCAAAGTCCTGTACTTGTTGGACCCATCCAACTACCCTAAACAGACTTTGTCGCTCTTCATACTATGTCTATTGCTCTGAATGTCTAATAATGATGCAAAAGGGTTTACACTGGAGTTGATTGAAAGACCAGTGCGTCTTATACAGACGCTAAAGTGTGTCCATATCTGATGCTTAATATTAGTGACCAAGCTCTGTTTTTTGTCGCCCTGTCTCTCGCCCTGGGAGAGAAGCTGACAAAAGTAATGTTTGCAGCGTAAAGTTTGGGCTGAATGCAGTCATACCCCTGTATTACCTAAGCAGTAATATCTTCTTAATATCTCTATTTTCAAAACTGATATCAAGACACAATGGAGGATTAAATACTGATAACTAAACTTGTTGTCGAAATAAATCGTTTGTTGTATTTTAAGATAGATGTCGGGGGGTTCCCCATTCAGTTTCATATTTTAAGGACCTTTTTCTAGAGCCAACCATTAGAGAAACCACATCTTTGTAGCTATGTAGTGTAAATAGATAAAAACAGCAGTCATGTTGCACAGAGCAAAACAGGTGGTGACAACAACATCAGAATTGCTGGAGAGAGGTTAAAATTCTAAAAACATTCATGTTCATCTTTGTAAGCCATGTAACACTGGAGAAAAAACACAGGGGTTAAAAAGACTTGCTCTTGTAGGGTTCATTTCAGGAGCAACTGCTGATGTTCTTGGACTTAATTGTTGAGGTGCAAAAATAAAAGTCGCTATATACTGATCGGAATCTGAAGTTATTGATTTGACCGAAGAAAGAAAGAAAGTCAAACAGGGTCCTTGTGGACAATGACTTAGAGTCAGTGCTTTAACCTCCCTCATCTGTACATAAACAGAGTGTCCTCTCGTTACCTCAGGCTGTTGTTGGTAAAATCAATATGTTTGCTTTATTCACCAGGTTAGATAAGGGCAGCAGGGTCAGACACACTGTCCTTCATCAGGGAGGACCAGGACCGGCTGAATCTTTACTAGCCCCAGAGGAGCTGTTCAGGAGCTGATATCTGACCTTTTGACCTCCCCTGACAGGGGAGGAAGAAAGGAAAATTTCCCTTGTGGTACTCACCAAAGCATGGTATTATTGTTGCATTACAAAGACAAACCAACATGCTGATGGAATCTGGCAGAGACAGCTGCTGCCCGTTGCTGCCTATTTGTCTTCTAAATATCACACACTTTCAAGCCGTGATCCTGTTCCTTATTTGAGGTACAAATATCACATTTTTGACAAGATGGACAAACAGAGAGAAATCCAGCCCGTCTGTACACGAGAGCTGGCTACTATTTTCAGAAAAATGCAGACTTACTGCAAGAGCCAGAACAAATACATCATGAGTGTGTGTGTATGTGTGTGTGTATGTGTATGTGAACAGGGCCAGAGCATGGGGTGATGAGGACAATCCTCTGCTGACCTCGATGCAGATGACCAGTGATGGCCACAACATCACCTCAACAGTAAGTCATGATTCCAGACTCTGTTACATTTAGTTAAAAAACAAAAAGCAGTGGGTCCATGTGCGTTCTTGTGCACGTTTCTCAAATGGAAACTCCCACTCAGCTGTTAGCAGACAGCAGTGACGTAGGTCTCAGCGCTGATGCCCTGCCTCACTCCCCACACACACACCAGTGTAAGATGGGAGAGTGAGTAAAGTGTTAGCTTGGAAGATTTGAGCTTGGAGGTGGAAGATGGTGCTGTCTTATTATTAAAAATTAAATCAAATCTTTGTTAAACCTGGAGAAGACGCGCTGAGATTCAATATAATCAATATAATACTGCGCTTGTGCTGTATTTACATTTAAAATACTGCAGTCAGTGTATTACCTACAGTAGATGGCGGTTAGCACACTCCAAGTTTGAAGAAGCAGACAGGAGTACTGGAGCACAGAAGCTAAGCAATGTACTGCTTCGGATGGCACATGCTAGCTTAGTCCTAAAAGTCTCACAGTTACACAAACATGTCAGGGGCAGTGGTAACCAGTAACTCAATGTGTTTTATGTACAAGGTAACATTACAGTTTCTGTCAAGGAAGTCTGGTGGCTGTGGACGGGGGCAGCAGCAAAATGTCTTTTAGCATCCCATAAAAGGACCATCAAAAAAAGTAGTGTACACTGTACTTTTTATTTTATTTTTTTATACATTATCTTTATGGGCTTTTTAACTTTATTACAGGACAATTTAAGAATGACAGGAAAAGGGGCAGAGAGAATGGGGATAGCATGCAGCAAAAGGGCCGCAAGTTGAAATCAAACCTAGGCCACTGTAAAGATTTAGCCTACATGGGAGGCACACACTCTACCTGTTGAGCTATAGGTCACCCCATTTAGTTTATTTTCAAAGCTTTACTTTGCCATCAGACAGCCCTTTCTGAAGGGTAATGGAAGCAGTTATATGGCGCTTTTCAAAGCCACTAGACTCAGGGCTGGCCCGTGGCATAGGCAGTATAGGCGAAAGTCAAATCAAAATGTTTACCTTTTACTTTTTTTTTTGCTAATACTTTAACTATTGCTATTTTGAAATATTACATTAGGCCACAACAACATAAGTACAAAGCAAAGCCTACTTAATAATAGAGGCCTTTTTTGTCAGGGTTCCTGCCGCCCTCTGGCCCCCCTCCACAGCTTGTTACACTTCTTCTGTTCTCTGGGAGGGACTGGCGAGTTATCCAATATCAGGTAGACCCTGAAACGCACTGTATTGTTATCATATCATAACGACAAAAGCATTCTGGTGCCCATTCAACAACCACTACACTAATCTCTCAAGACATTCTGCAATTTACAAAAAAAAAAAAATTTTCTTATTTTTACCGATGGATTTGCAGATTGCCACTACACTACTGAGAGGAGCGTATTTGGAGAGAAAGAACAAAAAAAAAACAAATCCATATTGAAATCAGCAGAAGGAGCACTAGTTATTGTTTCCTCTGAGCAGCCGATGGCCACAACCAACATTGGTTTACATTGTGAAGCGTAATTAGTATTAGGCGCAGGTCAATTATAATGTTCTCATGATGTGTTCAATGGAATCTTGTCATATGTAGCTCTTAGTGAGGTACTCAAATAAATCCAGCTGTTTGAAGGAGAAAGTTGTTGATGTTTTCACAGCACTATAAAATAGATATTAGAGAGGGAATTGTGATGTATCATATATCTTACAAAGGCTTTTTTTTTTAAAAAAAAGATGTTTTTCATGTGAAAGAACGTTTTATAGTGTAGATTTTTGTGTTTCCCTGGAACAAAAGAAAATAAAATAACAACAAAAAACAAAAGATCGCCCAGGGCACCAAATGTGCAAGGGCCGCCAGTGACCAGACTCCATTGACAGAAACAGTAATTTTACCTCACAGCACATGGGAGTTGCTGGTCTACCGCTGTGTAGATTGTCTGGTTTGTTTGTGTTACTGTGCGACTTTCCTCACTGTGCTAAGGTGGAATCAATGGCAGTACGTGGGTTTATATGTAGACACACCATCATGCAGAAACCTACATCAGGTCACGTGAGATGAGGGGCTGGGGAAAATAGCATTTTGACACTAAACATACAAACTTTGGCTAAAATTTGAACCTTTGGAATACATACGTAACGCTACTGAAAAGCTACAGAATGACATAAAAACCTCCACACACACCCAAAAATAATCTAACTGCCCTTTAAACAGTTTACAGATTACCTAAAAATCTAGGAGAAAAAAAACAGTTTTGTGAAATCTGTGCCATTTAAATAGCTGAGTTTGTTTGTTTGTTGTGTTCTTGCAGTTTGTTGGATGACATCATAAACACAGGACAACAGGAGCAGCAGCAGGAATTCCTGAGCTTGCTGGAGACGATTGTTCTCACCATCTTTCTCTCCATTATTATCATCATGACGGTGTTTGGCAACCTGCTGGTCATGGTGGCACTCTGCAGGGACAGACATCTACGGTGAGCCTGTGGTCTTTTTTTTTTCAATGCTGGAAGCAGCAACAGTTGTCCAACTGGCTTTAAAGTCCCAGAGAAGTTACAGGGGTCTGTCTGCAGAAGACACACCCAAGTTCACGGTTCAGAGTGTTAGGCTACATGAAAGACAAATAATAAAGGCGACTACATTTTCACTGCCATGAACCTTTCTTCAATCTTTTTTGATGTATAAGCCAGATAAGACTTTCATGAGATAAATGTGACAAAAACAAAGAGACAAAGCAAGGTGCTTTTTGTTTCCTGCTATTCATACTGAAAACACATATGTTACTGTGAGGTATTCTGGGAAACAGTGTTTAAAAATTCCACACGCTTTGGGAGTAACCCATGAAATGTCAAAGCACTCACGTTATAGAAATTTTGTCCTGAAATGCCCTCTCTGGCTGACAGGTAGATTGGTACCTGTGACATTTCATGCTTGCCTAAAATCTAAGTCAAACTATAAAAAACTCTGCATTTTAACGCTCCAGCATGTAGGATTTAGGAGGAATTGAAGATAATATCTAAGTATGTTGTCATTAGTGTATAATCACCTGAAAATATTAATCGCTTTGTTTTCGTTACGTACAAATGTGCCGGTTATTTCTACCTACACCCTTGCCTCACGAGAGAACTTTTATTTGGTTGCAATCTGCAACCTCACTGCTAGATGCCACTGAATCCTGTACACTAGACCTGAGAAGACATTTAAATCCTACTGACATCAGACAGTCTTCGTTTATAAGTGCAAAACAGGACACATGACAATCGCTTCAAATTTCTGTGAAGTCACACTGACAGCTGGCAAATTGGGTGGCAGCACCTTTGAAGGTTAGAGATGCAAGCTGGTTTAAGTCATGTCGGACATGATGGTACAGTACAACATAGAGTACGCCATAAACTTCTACTGTTGAGTTTTGTGGATTATTTTTTGATGCCGACTCATTTCTTGCTGTCTCCTCTCCTCTCAGGAAGAAGAAGACTAACTACTTCATTGTGTCGCTGGCGTTTGCTGACTTGCTGGTTGCGTTGTTGGTGATGCCCTTCGCTGCGATCGAGCTGACTACTGGCCAGTGGCGGTACGGAGAGATCTTCTGCCTGGTTCGAACGTCTCTGGATGTCCTGTTGACTACAGCCTCCATCCTGCACCTCTGCTGCATTGCGCTGGACAGGTGCGTATGTCTGGGAAAGAGATGATGGGGAGGGAGGATTTGAAACTCATTCATACTGAAAACAATGGATGGCATGACACTAAGGCAAGATGCCTGCCAAGATGCAGATCACTGCAGACCACTAGCCTGGTTCCAGACCATAGACCCCGCCCACTCAACTGAGTAGGCTTGCATAACTGGTCTGGCATAATTCAATGAATTTGCGATTTATCAAATCCAAACGATGGACGGACCAATGAACGCTGGGGGTCTAGCGATTAGCCAATCAGCGCCACGCTGATGTCAAGCTGTATGCTGGTGGGTAACTGGTGAGGATAGCAACAATGGTGACCGCTACAGATCCTACAGACCACATTAACGATGCTATCGAGGTATTTCGCCACTACTCGCGTTAATGGAGGACCAAATTAAGGAAGCTGCTAAACTGGATTTAACGGCGATGCAGCTGGGCGTGCACGACGACGGAGACATTTTAAACGGGCAATGCTCGCTTGTTTTCGGCACCCCCGAGGCATGGATACTAATGATATCAGATTCTGGGTGAATCGTTGATCTCTACTGATTGGTTAGGGAAAAAATCAAATTCTCTCCCCCTTGTAAATCGCCTTCAATGGAAGCCATGTCAGACTGAAGGTTCTGGGAGCTTCAGTCTGACACTCAGGCTAGCAGACCACTGTTCACGACCAACAAATGACAAAACCAGTGGGTGTTTTTTAGGGACATGGCTCTTTTTCCAGCGTCTTTTCAGCCCTCAAACATGGGTGTTTTTCAGTGACCAGTCACTGTTTTTTCAGTGGAGATAGTGCCACAAGCAGCAGTCCAGTCAGGACCACTTTGGTCCAAGAAAACTTAATTTCCATTTGCAGTATTACAGTTGGCGGTACGGCTCTGTTCTGGGGCCTCTCTGCCTTTCCTAGGCAAATGCAGAAAGCCTCTTCCATGGGCCTACGTGGGAAGCCTAAGGCAGAGAGGACAAACCTCTGCCCTTCCATGCGCTTACATGACCGTAGGCAGAGAGAGCAGCAGCAAAGACCACCCAGGAACAAAACAGAGCAGCGTCAATGACAAACAGAAATGACATTGATATTGATAAGTCAGACACAACATGAAAAGGAGGAGCCGGGGTGGAGGTGGGTTGCAGGCTTGCAGAGGAAGCCAAAAAATGGTCTTTTCCCAACCATAGCCAAGTGGTTTTTATGCCTAAATCTAACCACACATTATCCACAGCGTTGTTAAAATAAAAAGTTTTAATGTATCTGCTTTCCGGGGGAGTCTTTGCTGCTGCTCCTGCCTTAGGTTTTCCAGGTAGGCGCATGGAAGGGCAGAGAGGTGTGCTCTCATGCCTTAGGCTTTCCGTGTCGGCACGCAGAAGGGCAGAAAAGTGACATATCCGTGATTTGCAGGAACATACAACTCCAACATTTTTTTCTGCAATTACAAAAGTGTATTAAATTTAATTTTGTAAGATGACATAAGATCCATTTTGTATTGAAAATGCACTGATTTTTGGTTTTATATTTACAGTCACTTCAAAAACTGTGTACTTATGTATGTAGCTTGTTTCTGTATATTATTACAGGTATTATGCTATCTGCTGCCAGCCACTGGTCTACAGACACAAGATGACCCCAGTCAGAGTGGCAGTGATGCTCAGCGGCTGTTGGCTCATCCCCACCTTCATCTCCTTCCTACCCATCATGCAAAGCTGGAACGCCATCGGCATTGAGGACATTGTGAGTCCTCAGTGGCTAAGATCAGATATCAAGGAAGGGTCGAAAGATGACACAGTTATTACAGTCCCGCATCAACAGAATACACTGAATATTTTAACAAAGTAGCCCACTTAAGAGCTCATATACCCCCCTCAATACCTAAAGAGAAGGATGTTCTTTCTGTGAGGACAAATGCAGTGTAAACCTTTCCAACCCAATATTCTCTGTTTCTAATAACGTTTCCAATCCCTTCAACAATGACACTGTAATGCAGTGATCACAAAACAATTCCAGTCTCTGCAGAGGCTCTCTTGCTGCGAGCAAAGACAGCTCTTCAACAAGCATTTCCTGCTGGTTTGGATGTGTTTTGGCGTGGGGTTATTTCAGAGTCGCCTTGAAATGAGCTGCAGGACTCCCAGAGGCACACAAGAATAGATGAATTTATTCAGCCAGAGTTAATGAAATACATGTCCCTTTTCCTTGTCTTGCAGTCAGACTTCATTCAAACAGCAATCTATTGTTTTTAAAAGCTGACTGGGTGTCTTGAAGATATATGTCAGAGACAGAATTGCAGAGGACTTGATATGAGCACATTTAGACCAGGTTTCTTTATACGTTGTGTGTACGTTTCTTTGGTCGCTCGTCTTCTCTAAAAAAACATTCTGAAAACTTTCATTGCACTCTTGTTCTGCCCAAAAAAGGAATTGTTTGAAACTGAAACTTCTTCTCACTCCAGCTGTCACAAAGCCACAAGAACTGATTTAATAATTGTGACACAAGTTAGATGATCCGCTATAGTTTGTCTGCTTGGTATGAACTGCGTCTGCTCTGTTTTCACCAAATAAAGAATGAGGATCTTTCTGTGAATCTGAGGAGACTCTGCTCTGTTAGCCCTAAAACCAGAAGTAGTCACTGTGTGAGACTTTTTTATACATTTCCAGTGTGGGATTTCACTGCCCTGTAACACAAAATGATCAATTTATGACCATGCAGAGCTCAGAAAGTTGTTCATCAGTACCCAAACCAAACATGATGATGAAATAGAATTTACTCTTCAGCTTGAGGCACTTCTCTACCTTCAGTGTACTCTGACCTGTACATACACTGAACAAAAATATAAACGCAACACTTTTGTTTTTGCTCCCATTTTTCATGAGCTGAACTCAAAGATCTAAAACATTTTCTATACACACAAAAGACCATTTCTCACAAATATTGTTCACAAATCTGTCTAAATCTGTGTTAGTGAGCACTTCTCCTTTGCCAAGATAATCCATCCCACCTCACAGGTGTGGCATATCAAGATGCTGATTAGACAGCATGATTATTGCACAGGTGTGCCTTAGGCTGGCCACAATAAAAGGCCACTCTAAAATGTTCAGTTCTGCTTTATTGGGGGGGTCTGGAGGGGTCAGAAAACCAGTCAGTATCTGGTGTGACCACCATTTGCCTCACGCAGTGCAACACATCTCCTTCGCATAGAGTTGATCAGGTTGTTGATTGTGGCCTGTGGAATGTTGGTCCACTCCTCTTCAATGGCTGTGCGAAGTTGCTGGATATTGGCAGGAACTGGAACACGCTGTCGTATACGCCGATCCAGAGCATCCCAAACATGCTAACTGGGTGACATGTCCAGTGAGTATGCTGGCCATGCAAGAACTGGGATATTTTCAGCTTCCAGGAATTGTGTACAGATCCTTGCAACATGGGGCCGTGCATTATCATGTTGCAACATGAGGTGATGGTCGTGGATGAATGGAACAACAATGGGCCTCAGGATCTCATCACGGTATCTCTGTGCATTCAAAATGCCATCAATAAAATGCACCTGTGTTCATTGTCCATAACATACGCCTGCCCATACCATAACCCCACCGCCACCATGGGCCACTCGATCCACAACGTTGACATCAGCAAACCGCTCACCCACACGACGCCACACCCGCTGTCTGCCATCTGCCCTGAACAGTGAAAACCGGGATTCATCCGTGAAGAGATCACCTCTCCAACGTGCCAGACGCCATTGAATGTGAGCATTTGCCCACTCAAGTCGGTTACGATGACGAACTGCAGTCAGGTCGAGACCCCAGTGAGGACGACGAGCATGCAGATGAGCTTCCCTGAGACGGTTTCTGACAGTTTGTGCAGAAATTCTTTGGTTATGCAAACCGATTGTTGCAGCAGCTGTCTGGGTGGCTGGTCTCAGACGATCTTGGAGGTGAACATGCTGGATGTGGAGGTCCTGGGCTGGTGTGGTAACACGTGGTCTGCGGTTGTGAGGCCGGTTGGATGTACTGCCAAATTGTCTGAAACGCCTTTGGAGACGTGAAATGAACATTCAATTCACGGGCAACAGCTCTGGTGGACATTCCTGCAGTCAGCATGCCAATTGCACGCTCCCTCAAAACATCTGTGGCATTGTGCTGTGTGATAAAACTGAACATTTTAGAGTGGCCTTTTATTGTGGCCAGCCTAAGGCACACCTGTGCAATATTCATGCTGTCTAATCAGCATCTTGATATGCCACACCTGTGAGATGGGATGGATTATCTCGGCAAAGGAGAAGTGCTCACTAACACAGATTTAGACAGATTTGTGAACAATATTTGAGGGAAATGGTCTTTTGTGTATATAGAAAATGTTTTAGATCTTTGAGTTCAGCTCATGAAAAATGGGAGCAAAAACAAAAGTGTTGCGTTTATATTTTTTTTCAGTGTATTTTCAATTGAGGTCAAAGATATGGGCAGCTGGCCACATTGGCTAAACCTCTTTTCATTTTTTGGAGGGGTGGGGGGCGTCTTATTGGCTTTGTTTGATAGGCCAGATCCAGTGTGAAAGCAGGACAGAGAGGAGGGATGACATGCAGCAAAGGGCTGGAGGTTAGAATCGAACCCTTGTACATGGGGCGCCTGCCCTACCAGATGACCTAGTGGGCACCCAGTCAACCTCTTTTTATTAGTAGCTACACAGTATTTAGCATATTCCATCTTTCTTTAGCCTAGCTTAGCGGCTAGCCTCTCCAAAGTCCAAAAAAACTCCTACCAGTGCCTCTCACACCTTAACACTTAACGTGCTTCTTGATTATTTCACACATATACCAGCAAAAACTGAAAATATGTTTTGAAACTTTAGAGCTGGCTATCTGTTTCCTCTTGCTTTCATTCTATATGCCAAGCTTCGCTAATCACCTCCTGGGTCCAACTCCATTCTTAACACACAGGCATGACTAACTCTGGGACAGAAAATGTGGCCTATTTCCCAAAATCTGGAACGACACATATATATATCCTTAACTTCACGCCATGACTCATGGTGATGAAATTCAGTTGCATTCAGGTTGCACTGAAAAGGTCAAAAGGTCTAGTTCTCATCTATACTTTTGATGATTTCTGATGATGACTTGTCGTTTTTGTGTCCGTGTTTTCTCTTCTTTCCAGATTGAGGAGAGGCGAGCCTTGGTAGGAGGCTCCAACGACACAAGCTGTGTGTTCCTGGTCAATCGGCCGTACGCCCTGATCTGCTCTGCGGTGGCCTTCTACGTCCCATTGGCCCTCATGGTCCTAGCCTACCAGCGGATCTACGTCACCGCCATGACCCACGTGCGGCAGATCGAGACATTACAGCGGGCCGGCTCCGCTCCTGTCACCGGGACAGCTCCAGTGATCACCGTGAGGTCCTCCACTTCATCAGATCCATTGGAGCACTACCGCCTTAGGACAACAACGGGCTCCACCTCCTCAGAGCAGGCTCCCATAGCGAATAGCCGCATGCGTGTTGAGACAAAGGCAGCGAAGACGCTGGCAGTTATCATGGGTTGTTTCTGCCTATGCTGGGCACCGTTTTTCATCACCAACGTGGTGGACCCCTTCATCCATTACTCAGTGCCCTGGCAGCTGTGGACAGCCTGGTTGTGGCTCGGGTACATTAACTCAGGGTTGAACCCTTTCCTGTATGCCTTTCTGAACCGGGCGTTTCGGAGGGCGTTTCTGGTGATTCTCTGCTGTGGGAATGAGCGGTACGCACGGCATGGGAGCTTCTCCTATGTACACACCCAAAGAGCGTGCTCAGCTGCGTCGGTCAACGGGACATCTATGGCACTGAGGTAAACACACAGTAAAGGCACATTTTCTCTAGTTTTTGTGAATATTTATTCAATTGATACCAATGCTATTATCGATTCTGCTTGTTGGTCCAGTTCCTGAACGGGCTTTGAGTTGGGTCGGCCTCGGGTTAAGCCTCAGCGCTGTGTGTGTATGTCAGATTGTCAGATTGATAGAGAGGGGGAAGAAAAGGTGGAAGGTGGACTATTGCACACAATGTTTCTGTAAGTTATTATCACTTGTCACCTCCTTTCAGTTTCCTCCACCAGTTTACTGGTGAAAAAACAAAACTGAAAATGAAACAACTGAATACTGAATTGAATATTGATCGCCATGACAACAAATGAAGTGTCAAAGCTTCGAAGCACTAGAAATAATCTGTTAAGCCCACCTGTGTGGCGCTAATGTTGATATAACATAGGATATTTACCCTTGGTAACAGACATACTGCTCAATTAGAAAGCAGTGGCACTCATGCATAGTGTTAAATACATAATTCCTGGAATTTAAGCACAAGTTGCGCAGAAAGATGTTTGAGCATATTTCTGGAGTTTCTACCTTTAGATGACATGATCATTTTAGAGACATTTAAGTAGCACTATTTTCATCTTTCATCATGAAATGAAGTCTTTGGAGTGTTTCTTTCTCTGCGCCATGGCTCCTTCTTGTTGCAAGTTTCATGCAGGATAGACAAGCGTTTCAGGTCACTGTTTTGCAATGCGCAACTAAGACTGGAGGCATATGATTATGATATGACAATTTGGAACCGGCTCTCAATTGGAACAGGTTCTCGTTTTCCATCTGTAAGTGTGTATGTGTGTTTTGTCCTGCTGTCCTCTGTGTTAAAAGTCAATCAAGGGTAGAAATCAAGTCGACAGGCAGGAAACCAGGTTCATTTGTCTTTTCTTGCAAAGAGAGACAGATGTGCATCGAGTCTGTTTTATTTGGTGCAAATTACTGTAACACTGAAAAGAGAATGATAGACAGTCACAGCAATGTCAAAAGTTAAGCCAGCTGGGCCCAAAGCCAACTGGGACACCACATTTCTTAGTAGAAGGTGAAATACTTTGTGTGACTGATTGGTTTAGTTTCATTCATCCATACACTGTATATATCATACACTGGAGGTACATCAAAACCAGCATTGAGACAAAATATCATGGCTTGGTACAACCGTCATCTTATCTGAAATTAGTCATCATTTTTCATTTAGGCCATGTGTCATAGCCTAATGTGTAAATAATAGATGTGAACATGCTGTGCCTTCTCTAGAAATAAATTTTCGTTGTCAAAGCAGCTGTGATGTTCTGCAGATGGAACATTTTACCAGAAAAAAAAAAGAAAACTGTCCATCACTCAGACTGAAATGAATTTAATAGTCGAGATCTGTCATTTTGGGATCTTAGTGTGTACTCGTCCTGTAGATATGAGGTCCTCTCATGAACTGGATCATGTAATCTTCTTTCTTTCATGCCCCCATCAGGGAATATGATCAAATCTGCACTGAAATTTCAGGCTGTAGTCCTGACAGTGGCACGCATGCAGTTTTTGAGCTTCCTTTTTAGCTAAGAAACATGTACAGTAATAAGGAACTTGAAAAATAGAAGCTGGGGAAGTGGAAGGAGAAATAGGCCAACACAGACAGTAACAACAGCTGCATAGGAGTCACAAACCAGTAGCAGAAACATCATGATCAGAAAAGCTGAGAGCGATAGTTGGTCAGATTTTAAAGATTGTCTTGTTTCTACAATTGTAATCATATCTTATTAAGGCTTTGGTTGTGTTCATGAATATTGAATTATATAATAAGGTGGCAGTATGCATTTGTCAGTCCAGATGTTTCAGCCATGCTGGTGATGTAGCTTTAGCACCTCCAGTGTCATTCTGTCAGTCCACTGCTTTGGTCCAGACTAATATTGTAACAACTGGTTAACCAGGTCAGAGTGGACTCAAACGCATGACTCTGGAGACAGTTCGGGTAAAATAACAAAGTCTATACTGGTCAAAAGGTAGGTTCGCTACACAGAAGGACTATCAGTGGAGGCAAATCCAATAGGGATGAGACAGAGGCAGAGTCAATCAACAGACTAAATCCAAACAACCAAGACAAGGACACAGGGAAACAAAAGGTTGGACACACAAGGAGCTAAGACAAACTGGCACTGAGAGAACACAAGACACACACTAAGAGGCCGTTTACACGTCGCCGGCTATTTTCATAAACGGACATTTCACCATCTCCGTTTTCAAAAAGATCTTCGTTTACACTTACCCGTGTATATATACACAAGAGCATGCCAAACCTGTAGGTGGCAGTGTAACGAGAGGCTCAAGCCTTCCATGTATCCATTGTCACCATAGCAACATAGGTCGCACTTTTGACACAGGCGCAAGTTCCGGCGCATACTGTGACGTCGGCTGCCTATAACTCCATTTATCTCAAACGCGCAACCGGAGTTTTCCAAAATCTCCACTCTGGCCGGAGTTTTTAGAAAGACTCGTTTTCAGAGGAGAAATCTCCGTTTGCGTGTAAACGAAGGGCACAAACGAAGGAAGATGTCTCCGTTTATCAAAATCACCGTGTACGTGTAAACGGCCTCTTAATACTCTGTTGAGGGGGAGGATAACGAGACACAGGTGAGGCTAATCAGACACATGTGAAGTCACCAAAATGGAGGGAAAACACACGGGGCAGGTAGTGAAGTGATACGAAACGAGAGGAAATGTGAGTTTCAAAGTAAAACAGGAAACGACATGAATGAATGAATGAAATAAAAAACATAACCTAAGAAACTTGAGCTGTGACAAAAATGTCTCAATAACCACTGAATGGACTGCCGAGAAATCTGAATTATGTATGACTTGGTGGTCGAAATGTTCAGTTTGTCCATTACTTTGGTTTATCACTTGCAAAAAAGTTGACATTCCTATCAGCCTTACAGCCGCTGTACTCTGTGTTTAGCGCTAAACAGCAGATGTTGGTGTGGTAAACATTACCTGGTTAACAGGTTAGCACTAATGTTAGCATTTAGCCCAAAGCACCACAAGGACTAAGTACAGCTTCACAGAGATGTTAGCATGGTTGTACAATCTCTCAAATGGTGAGGTTGTCATTATCTCTGCATGTGTTTCGTTGTCTGTCTGTCCGCAACTAATCTCACAAACTACTGGACCAATCAGCCTAATATTTTTAGTTCACATTTATGACTGTATGCGCAAGGACCTTTCATGGTTGCAGTAATTCACATTGTTGAAAAACCTGTTATATTGACTGTTTTATACCATCACTAACTGCTGACTCCTCACTCACCTTAACTGGCCAGTAAGAGCCTGCAGGCAAAAGCATAGAGCAAAAGGCATTTCCAGCATGTGACTAGGCTAAAACCAAGAAGCCTTAGCAGCTATTGCGGACCACATTTTGATCTTTATCATGGCTCAAAAACTGAAAGCCATAAAAAAAGGTTTGATAGGAGCATCTGCAGATTTGATATGATATGTTATGAACCACTAAAGTCAGGCATGCTACGAGGTGAAAAAAAGCCCCGTTATGTTATCTTTAACATCATCTTGACTGTAAGGGATCCAGGAGGGCCAATTCCACTGGATGCAGCTGCGCCGCATGTATTGTTTGGAGTCAGCTGCAGCATCCGCCTGGTAGAGATCTGTCATCTACTGAGTGCAGTTTTCTTGTTGGATAAATAGTTCCCATTGTTTAAAATAGTTATTTGAAATGCAGTACTACATTTCACACAAAAGCTGTTTTAATAACTAAACCGAAGAATGCAGATTAATAGGACTTTATCTAACTATAATTATGTCTTGCTTGTGTTGTCTTGTCTTATTTATTGCCTTTAAAAAGCACTCAGTAAAAAACTGACACCAACTTTTATAAAATGCATGTTGGTTTCAAAATAAACCTCAAAATATGAATCGTTTGAAGTCGTTTATCCATGTGGCCGTAGACATTTTTTGAGCTTAGGGTGAGGGGTTGAAACAGTTATGGACTTCCAGAAACAATGGATTGATTTCTTCCAAATTTGTCTGTTTTTATAGATAAGGATCTTTGATTGATTGATAATGTATGACATCACCGTAATAGTCCAGCAGTCTGTTTTTTTACAGCAGAGTTGCTGTTGACGTTAATGGCGGTGATTTAGTCGACGTCTGTGTTTGTGCTCTCCTTCGAGTGCGGATGATGGAGGAGGTGACCTGCTTGTGTCTGCACTGTTTAACTTTAACACAAGTACTTCACCCGCCGGAGAGAAACAGAGGCATACACACACAGCTGACAAATTGATTCATACAAAATACGTACAAGCACTTGACATATTGTGCGTGCAAAAACACACACAGACAGCGATACGTGTCATCTGTAGTTTGCGGAAAGGAAGTGGGCTGACCTAATGCCTCCGCTCCAGTCGTAGTGGTTTCATTCTAATATGTACAATGTGTGTGCAGTCAGTGTGTGTGTGTGTGTGTGTTTCCATGGTGTCTGTGCGCATTTTTTGGGCTTTCCGTCTTTGTGTGTAGGAAACAGAAAGGCAAACAGTGTTAACTCCAATCTGATGACCTCTCTTAAAATCTGTCTCGGACAGAAAACAGACTCAGACAATCAGATTACGGCCGGCAGGATACTGGAAACTGAAATTACTGGAGGAATCCTGTCGAATCATTTTGTCAGTGAGCTGTGGGGCGTTTAGGCGCAGTCTGTGGGCGGATGGTGTTTGTGTGGGTGTTTCTCTGCTGTGTAGTTTTCAGAATCACAAAAAAAGTGTCATCCAACTCTTATGTTTTTTCCTTTGTGTGTGTGTCTATCTGTCCTTGTGGGCACACGTGGAAAAAATCGGTCAGTTTGTAAGACTTGGACCCACAACAAGGCAGATTTGTTTTGTAAAAAATACAATTTTTCTCTTCCAAGGACTGCAAACAACCTTCAGCTCCCTGCACCTTATAAAACTTGTTTGTCCACTTCATTTTGTGGTCAGCAATAGTCATCTAGTTC